ACAGTAAGGGGGGGGGGGAAGAAATCCATTCAGGAAGGACTAGCCATTTTCAGTGGCCACAGTAAAGTCCAAGCTGGAAATGAAAAATGGGTAGAGAAAATACTGCAAACTTTCGTTGCAGGCCTTAGATAACCAACACCGTTCTAGTGTGTGTGGTTTATCACGGCTATAGGCATACACGTCACAGTTCGGTACTGTCAGAATGATGTAGCCACAGGACAGCAGCACTGTCAAGGGCCCCAATGTGTCCAAATCCCATCAGTGGTGGAGCTCTACAACTGAACCGTCATTGATCAGTGACCACTCAGCTTCTGATCATTTTCCCGCAATTTGCAATCAGCTTCTGCTCTGGCCACCGATCATTCGGTCCAGGGCAGTGGTTCCTACCCTTAGGTCCCCAGATGTCCTTACAATGATAAGAAATAATACTGTAAAACTGGCCAGCACAGTAAAGAGGGGGGGGGGAAGAAATCCATTCAGGAAGGACTAGCCATTTTCAGTGGCCACAGTAAAGTCCAAGCTGGAAATGAAAAATGGGTAGAGAAAATACTGCAAACTTTCGTTGCAGGCCTTAGATAACCAACACCGTTCTAGTGTGTGTGGTTTATCACGGCTATAGGCATACACGTCACAGTTCGGTACTGTCAGAATGATGTAGCCACAGGACAGCAGCACTGTCAAGGGCCCCAATGTGTCCAAATCCCATCAGTGGTGGAGCTCTACAACTGAACCATCATTGATCGGTGACCACTCATCATTTTTCTGCAATTTGCAATCAGCTTCTGCTCTGGCCACCGATCATTCGGTCCAGGGCAGTGGTTCCTACCCTTAGGTCCCCAGATGTCCTTACAATGAAACTCCCAGAAGCCTTCATCATTAGCTGTGCTGGCCAGGATTTATGGGAGTGGTAGTCCAAGAACAAGGGACGTGGTGGTGCTGTGGGTTAAACCTCAGAAGCCTCTGTGCTGCAGGGTCAGAAGACCAGCCGTCATAAGATCGAATCCACGCAACGGAGGGAGCTCTCATCTCTCATCACAGCTCCTGCCAACCTAGCAGTTCAAAAGCATGCAAATGCAAGTAGATAAATAGGTACCACCACGGTGGGAAGGTAATGGTGTTCTGTGTCTAGTCGCGCTGGCCACGTGACCACGGAAACTGTCTTTGGACAAACACTGGCTCTACGGCTTGAAACAGGGATGAGCACCACGCCCTAGAGTCGGGCACAACTGGACTAAATGTCAAGGGGAACCAAGTCCAAGAACATCTGGGGAGTCAAAGTTGGAAACCACCGGCCTCGGGCTTATGCTGGCAACCTCCCCCAGAACAGCCTCTGAGCATTCCACACCCAAAGACAATCTGAGAATCCTGAAAGGTGGAGCTGGCATCACACTGCCAGAACTGTGTAGTGTAGATACCCTTCACATCCCTCAGCGACTGCCACCAGTGATGGCTCCAACCCGAAAGAACATCAAAGCAACATGGGAACGGTGCTTGCCTGACCTGAATTTCCAGTTGCTTCGCCCGCCTCACTTTCCCCGGTGTTGTGTGCAAGACCCGACAGCCCTTAAAGACCATTGAAAGCAGATTCGATGTGTTGAGCAAACATGACCCTACAGACCTTCTGTCACTTCATGTTAGGAGCCCAGGAGCAGAAGTGAGGGTTTCACCCAGTGACACATTGTGAAGAAAAGAAGCGGTGATGGAGGTCAACCTATTTCTGCGTTGGCTCTGCGTCCCTCTGGCATCTCTTGTCTCTCAGTTTTGACCTTCTCCTCTTTTGTCTCAGACAACGTTGACTCCTCTTTAACCCTTAGGTCCATAAAAACTTTCTTCCTGGTTACAAATTGTCTCCTCTTCTTATCTGTCTGCAATTCCCGTCTCCTTTTCCTTTCTACACCTTTTCCTCAAGCCCCTTCCCTCTTCTTCCTTCCAAGCTCCTTTCCTCCTTTCCCCTTCTCCTTCCTCTTCTATTTTAAAGCTGTTCCACAACTCTCAAAATCTCTGCTTCTATACCCTTAATTTCATTTCTTTCGAACTCATTTCCTTCACATAAGCCTCTGTAGCCTCCAGTTTCTAGAGCCAACCAGCCGTCTCCTTGGGAGCCACAAGTCTAATTCTTACCAATTTCTCCAAGTGGCAAGGCGGTGGGTGACCTCGGATCAGAGTAGCCAAAAGCAAGGAGACATGCTGGGACATTACAGGAGGTAGCGATTTTAATAGACTGCCAAGATCGTCGAGTCTGTAAAGGTCATTTTAATTGACTTCTACAGCACATAGCAACAGTATGTAAAGAGACCAGAACAACAGCGTGAACAACCTGGAATAATCTAGGGGCCCCTCACCACGCACTCCTCTTGAGCTGTTGGAATATTTATGAACATTCCATGACCTCCAAACAGTTTAACCACTTGCATGAGAAACATGGACCATAGGAACCATTTCTAGTGGGAGCCGATTCCCAAAGGAATTTTCACCATATATCCCAAGCATCAAAGATGGAGCAAGATCATGTTGTTCTCCCCCAAAACCTCACACCCCCACCCCCAAAAACTCCAATATCTTTCAATGAAAGGAACAAGCCCAGCTGCCACCTACCTCCCAAAGTGGCAGAGATGAGTATGTGGGTGCCGTACTTTTTGATGATGGTCTCTATGAACTGCTGCGTCGAGGGCCTCCTGCCCAGCAGGCGGACACTCTTCTGGAACTCCGGCATCAGGGGGACAGGGTTGCGGGCTAGGTCCCTCCGCTCGATAGCTGTGTTCCTCACCTTCCAACGGGCAAACTCCCTAAGCGACAACACAGGAACACAACGCAGGTGAGGTGCCGAGTTCAGGCAGGGAAGGCAGAACACCGGGGAAAAGGGGCTAGTGGAGGAGAACAGAGGGGAATGGGGAGCATCACCCCCACAGAGAGATACACAGACACGTGTTGAGGGCTAAACCTAAGAGATCTGGAAGGGGAGGGGAGGGACCAGGGGAAGGAAAGAAGAGGAGAAGGAAAGCTATTATTTCAGCAAATATTGATTCGAGCCGCAGCAATCAAATGTAATGTGGATTCGGACGGAACTAATGACCTCAAGACCGTATTCACTCAACCAATGAGGGTGGTTATTTTTCTCTCTCATTTTCATCCAAAGCAGAAAGAGAAGGTGTTGATTCCATGACAAAATTCACACTTAAACGGGGGTCGATTTAGCTATGTACAAGGCAAGCTTTTCCAAACGATGGGAGGCATCGGCCTGAACAGCGAACGTTTGAAACAGTGGGCAGGAAAAAGGTGCTTAAAAAGGTCCTGTACACTTGATTCAGTAAGAAACTTGCCTGGGAAATTTATTTGATTTATTTTGTTTCGAATATTTTTGCCCCACTTTGCTCCTTAAAAAGGACCCAAGGTGATTTAACATCATTAAAAGACAATATTAGAAGCTATGTATACAAATAATAAAAAAAATGATCAAGCAAATACCACTGTAAGAAATAGTAAGTAAAAGCAAAATGAAAATCTAAAGCAGTACTGCATAACAACCAATCTGAAAGTCACCCTCCGGTAGTCAGTTACTGAAGAAAAAGGTCTTTGCCTGCTTGCAGAAGGACAGCAAAGACAGAAGGCCATCCGGGCCTCCAGTGGGAGGGAGTTCCACAGTCTGGGAATAGCTTGGAAATTGCAAGCCTTTGAAAAACCAAGGATTCCCCAAAATGCATAGATTTGAAACCATGGGTGAAAAAACACAAATTGTGGAAAAAAATATATTTTTGTTTGGCAGCACAAATCCTATGGGGAAAGGCCCACATTTTTAAAAAGTGTATCCTGCAGTCCAGGCATTTAAAAATCTGTAAAATAAATTTTTTGCAAGGATGGTTAGGGTGCCATGTGGAAACAAGACTCTAGAAGGAATAAAAGAACAGAAACCTCCAAACAAACAAGGCCACTTTGAAAGTGAAGGGAAAACATGTGCGAAAACGTGCAAATGATAGTCAGGCCATTAAGTCTGAAATTAAAAATGTACCTGCAACCCTAAGCAAGTTTAATTATGCCAAGATCAAAGAGACCTCTTTTACGGAGGGAGGCGATCCCATCTCAAACACACACCGCCCCTCAAACAGACATGAACTATTTAATGCGGAGTATGTTTCTTTTTCGTTCTGATCTCTGTGAAAAGGATTTGACCTGAAAACGGTTGGGGTTTCCCATTCCCTTCTTCTGGGGGCATTCTAGGACTGTACAGCTTGCCCCAAGACCACATAGGCTGGCTCTTCTCCACAGGAAATTAAAATCCCAACCTCTGACTCCACAGCCATTCCCTTCTTCTGGGGGCATTCTAGGAATGTACAGCTTGCCCCAGGACCACATAGGCTGGCTCTTCTCCATAGGAAATTAAAATCCCAAACTCTGACTCCACACCTAGATGCCTAACTCACCGAGCTATCCAGTCGGCTATACAGAGAGATACAAATGCCCCAGAGATGGAAGCTACTGCTAACCAGATGATTAGCAGCTCCCATAAGTCTCAGGCAATGTGGCTAGGTATGGGGGCTTCACCTCAAAACTCAGGGAAGTCCTCAAGCACTTCATCTTTACTAGAGCCTTCTTCTTTCAGGTTTATGTTTGTTAGCCATGAGAAAGGGTAGAAAGGTGGCTGGTTTTTGGCTAAAACATTGAAATTATATTGAACCTCCCTTCACTTGCCACTAGAGTATCCTCACTAAATCAAATTCAACTTGTATAAGTCTTGATTTGCAGTCAGTGGTTGGTTCTACTCTAGTTGGCTAAAGCATAATGGCTGCCGTTTCATTCTACATTGTTAGCATGGCCAGAGATGAAACCAAGAAATGAGCAAGGGTCTAGAGAAGGGAAGGGTTTGGGATGGTCATATTCAGATGCCAACCTCTGCCCTTTCCGAGTTAAACGGTACGCTTCTCCAAAAATGCCAAGACAGAGAGGTCATGGATCTGTGTGCTGGCTTCTGGCCACTGCAGGCTTCCCTGCAAAATGGAAAGTGAAGGTTGGAGGGCAAAATTAAAATCCATCATGAGTGGATGCCTTGTTCCCAACACTATTGTCACTTTGTGGATCAGGTGTTCTGAAGGTTGAGGGAAATGTTCATAGGGTGACAAGGGTACCAATGGTGAGGCAGTAGAGAAGCTACCTGGCCACCTCGAAAGATCTAGAAAAATGAGCTCTCCTGATAATGGGTTAACAACATGCAAAGAAGTGACATGTCATGCCCTTGACAGAAGTGCCCAGTGGGAGCATCTTTAAGGAGGCAGCACACTTCAACTTTAAATTAGGGCCCATTGCTTCTAACCTCGTATTCTAGCTTCATGATTCTACAATAGGCTGGGAGAAACGGATGTAACAGATATCATCTGAGGAGCGACCCTCAGTTGCCTCCTCAGGTCCCCAAACTTCATGGCCCAGGAAAATGGCCCAGAGTCTGTTGAACAGAATCTACCAGCTCCTGCACAGAAAGGCCGTCCTTGACAGATATGGGACAGGAAAGATGGAGATTCCAAAAAGACAACCCCAGTTGGGTGTATCTTGTTTCCCTGCTCTCCGTGGTCATGAAGTCTACACTGTCCTGGGTTGAGAGCTGCAGAGCTGTCCATGGTGCTGAAATACTCCTTCTACAGTGGTGCCTCGCTAGACAGTTGCCCCACATGACAGTTTTTTCGTTAGACATTGACTTTTTGCGATCGCTATCACGATTCGCAAAACAGTGATTCCTATGGGGGAATTTCGCTGGACAATGTTTGGTCCCTGCTTCACAAACCGATTTTTGCTAGACGACGATTTTGACAGCTCCCTCCGCGCTCACAAAACAGGTGTTTTCGGGACCTAAGCTCCGGAAGACAGTGATTTAAACAGCTGATCGGCGGTTCGCAAAGAGGCTTTTCTATACCCGATCTTCGCTACATGACGATTCTTCCCTGTTGGAATGCATTAAACAGGTTTCAATGCATTCCAGTGGGGAAATGCTTTTCGCTAGACAATGATTTCGCTAAACAGCGATTTCAGTGGAACGGATTATCATTGTCTAGCGAGGCACCACTGTATAGTTCCTTAGCCCACATTGTGCCCCCTTGGCTCTGAAGAGCAGGCAATGGGGCCCATCGTCTCTGAGAGTTTGTGCTTAGTGTTTCATTTCTGTCGGCTTTAACTCGGTGATGGCCTCAGAAGGAAACGCACGGATGTCTGGAATTGCAAGGGGCCCTCTGATCGCTTAAGGAAGAGGAAAGTTGCAAGACTGCAGCTTTCTACTTCGGGTTGGAAAAGGCACTGTTTATTTTGCCCCCAGGCGTGACTTGACTAATGAGCACACCATAACAGCTCCACAGTTTACTTTTTAAAAAGTGGCAGGCGTCACCACCAGGGACTGTTCGGAAGCTTGTTAGCACTCTGTTTCCTCGAGGGGCTGGGGACACAGAGGAGAAAATGCTGAGGAGGAAAGATAAGGTTCAAAGCTGAGGCAAAAGATGTCGCCCTCCGGAGAACAGGAGAGACTCCAAGGGCAGGCATGCCCAGGACAGGAGTGTGAAGTCTAGGAAGGAGAGGCCGCTGGTGCAAATTAAATACACCATCTTCAAACCACTAAGGAGGCCAGAGGGCAAAGAAGTGACTCGAGTGTAGAACCTCCAGAGCTGTTGTTTAATACCAACAAGAACGAGGGAGAGAAACAGCGACTGACGAAATAGAAAAAGGACGTGAGGGGAAATAATGCAAGCTGGTGCTTCTGCCAAGAGTACAGAAACACCAGGGAAAGGAGAGTTTCGCCAGGTGTTGTTTTGGCCCCGGGGTCTTCTGCGTGACCCAGGGAGGCTTCTTCTGCTCTCAAGCTGAGTTGAGTAGGATGGGCAGAGCGGGATGATGACCACCATCTCAGGTTGCCCTTGCTACCTCTTCCGGCTTATTATTCTACTTTTCCAGCATGCCCCAAGAGGTACCATCTGCTCTGTGCCACCCACAGCTTGATCTGTCAGCCGGTGGCTTTTTCTACACATGCCCACGACAACGTTTTTCTATTCCTAGCCTCGCTTCTTTTGCTAGTGGGTCAGCCTCCGATTTGCGTGATCGGCTGTATTTAACACTGCCGTGGCTGGGGATTTTTCATTGTTGCTCCTCTTTTGGGTTGGGAAACGAGAAGAAATACAAAGGACCTCAAGATGGAGGACTGAGCTTCCGCATTATCCACAGCTGTCAACACCTGGATGGCAGGCTAAGCAACACATTCAGAAGTCCCCCAGTTCATGATCTTCCTCCTTATGGCGAGAGGGTAAAGGTAAAAGTAAAGGTTCCCCTTGACTATTTTTGTCCAGTCATGTTCAACTCTAGGGGGCGGTGCTCATCCCCATTTCCAAGCCATAGAGCCAGCGTTTTTGTCCGAAGACAATCTTCCGTGGTCACATGGCCAGTGCGACTTAGACATGGAACCCTGTTACCTTCCCACCGAGGTGGTCCCTATTTATCTACTTGCATTTGCATGCTTTCGAACCGCTAGGTTGGCGGGAGCTGGGACAACCGACGGGAGCGCACTCCATCGCGTGGATTCGATCTTACGACTGCTTGGTCTTCTGACCCTGCAGCACAGGCTTCTGCGGTTTAGCCCGCAGCGCCACCACGTCCCTCTTTATGGCGAGAGGCACAATAGCAATTAATTCCCAAACTGGCATCTACAAAACAACGCACCTCAAGATTATACAACTCTGCTCTCTAGGAGGGCACAAGCCCGAGAAGATCGCATGTTGAATTCCCAACATCTCCAGGTAGAGCTAGGAAACAATTCTGCACC